TGGGCAACATGGCAAAACCCCATCTCTACCAAAAATATAAAAATTAGCCATTCTCATAACCCGGTCTCAAAAAAATAAACACATAAAAATAAAAAAATAAAAAATAGCCACATGAAACAGAAACTATTACTAACAAAATAGAAGAAACAAGGACAGTAGAAACAGACCCACATGAAGACTTACAGATCTGCATAGAGTCTAACTATTTAAATAACCAAAAACATTTTTTTTTAACAGTCCAGAGGTCTTTTATTTTTTTTTTTTAACACCTATTATGCTGTGAATTCACAGGGAAGAGGTTCCAGCAGCTCAGGCTCCTTCCCACTGGTTGTCACAAAGCGTGCTTCTCTGGGTGGAGCAGGCTGGCGCTTCAGCTGAACCCAGGTCCCTTTCTCTTTGGCTTCTTTCTTTTTCTGATCATTTTCCTTCACATGTTTCAGGAAGCTATCTCAGCTCTTAGGGTGCTTGATGTGATCAACACATACATTAATTCTCTTGGCAAGAATCTTGCCCTTAACGTGTTTACAACAATGCCAACAGCATGCTGGGTAAGATTGTAGACTCTTCCAGTTTTGCCATGATAACATTTGTGGGGCATTCCTTTTTGAACAGTACCCATTCCCTTGATGTCTACAATATCACCTTTCTTATAGATTCGCATATACATGGACAAAGGAACAACTCCATGTTTTCTAAAAGGCCTAGAGAACATATATTGAGTGCCTTTTCTCTTTCCCTTTGTCTTCGTCATTTTGGCGAATTACTGGAAGATGGCGGTTCTGGCCGAAAGGCCAAAAACCTTTTATGATATAAACATGTTGTGTCAGTCAGGTTTCCAACCAGACACAGATGAAACCATCAAACTATGATAATATGAGGGATAATATTATTCTTTAACAAAGAAATGTATTAATTGCTGGGACTATTAACAAGGAGAAGCCTTTACCACCTGTAGGCTTGAAGAGTTGCAGGGAGGGAGGAGCTATCAGAATCTAAAGACAGAGAGTCAATGGTCAGGGAATGTGGCCAGCCCACAGTGACCCCACAGGAAGAGATCGGGTAGATCAGTACTGAATCTCACTTTCCTCCTTCCCTCTGGTCCTACTGGTACCTTCATTTAGCCAAACACAGCTAGAAGCTAGACGACAAGAAAATCCATTGATACAGTTCATGCAGATCAGTTTCCTGGAGAGACAGCAGAGTGGAGAGGGTAAAGATATAGCCATAGAGGTGAACTGAGGATACATCACATGTGCTGTTATTTTTTTCAAGAAAATAAATGATTGAGGATTTAGACAGCAAACTAGAAACTACATAAAAGAGACAAAAAGTTCTAGAATTAAAAATATATAGTAATCAAAATTAAGAACTCAATGAATAAGTTTGGTAAATTTTAAGACCCAACTGAAGAGAACATTTGTGAAGTGGAAGATAGATTAGAAGACAATCACAGAGTAAAGCATGAAGAGGAAAAGGATGGAAAGTCTACAAGAGATGGTAAGAGGTATAGAAGATTTAGTGAGAAGATCTAACATACTTGCAGTTAGAGTATCAGCAGGCCGATGAAAGAAATAATGGAAGCAAATCTGAAGACGTGGTGGCTGAGAAATTTTCAAAGTCCATGAAAGACAACTAGAGAAAAAGGGACAAATTACTTTCAAGAGAGCAACAGTGAGACTTAGAGCTGACTTCTCAGCCATGGAAGCAGTGAAATCACATCTTTAGAAGGCTGAAATAAAAAAGCTGCTCATCTAAAATGTTATGATCAAAATTTAAAAATCTATGAAGCATGAGGATTTCTTAAAAGATATTTTGTTTCATTTCGTTTTGAGGCAGGGTGTCTCTCTTTTTCCCAGGGAAGTAAGTCAAAGGGTACAAGCCTGCAGTTATGTCGGATGACGAAATCTAGAAATATAATGTACAGCATGAGGACTATAGTGAATGACATTATATACTACAAATTTGCTAAGAGTAGATTTTAGCCCCCCCCCACCCCAACACACACTCAACTATAGAAGGTGATAGATTAATTTGCTTAACTATAAGTAATCATTTCACTGTGAATATGTATATCAAGACAGCATGGTATAAAACTTAAATATATACAATAAAAAGGCACTGTTGGGGATAAGACCCACTTCATTATGATAAAGTTGAATTCAACAGGAAAATATAATTCTAATTTTCTACATACTGCTAACATAGCCTCAAAATATACACAAGAAAACAGAAAAACAAATTCACTATCACAAGTGGCAGACTTTTAACATACTTCTCACAGCAAATGATAAAACTAGCAGATAAAAATTATTAATCATAGGCCGGGCGTGGTGGCTCACGCCTATAATCCCAGCACTTTGGGAGGCAGAGGCGGGTGGATCACGAGGTCAAGAGATCGAGACCATCCTGGTCAACATGGTGAAACCCCATCTCTACTAAAACTACAAAAAATTAGCTGGGCATGGTGGCGCGTGCCTGTAGTCCCAGCTACTCGGGAGGCTGAGGCAGGAGAATTGCCTGAACCCAGGAGGCGGAGGTTGCGGTGAGCCGAGATCGCGCCATTGCACTCCAGCCTGGGTAACAAGAGTGAAACTCTGTCTCAAAAAAAAAAAAAAAAAAAAAAAATTATTAATCATATAGAGTTGAACAACACAATGAAATGCACTTGACCTAAAGGACACTTACAAGACATTTACACTATAATTGCAGGCTATAATTTTTTTTCCCAAACACACAAGGGAAGTTCACAGAAATTTGCCATATGGTAGGTCATAAATAAGTCTCAATAAATTGCAAAATACGAGTAATTCCAAGTATTTCCCTGGGGAAAAAGTAACAAAGAGATAACTAAAAAAATCCTCATATGCTTGAAAATTGAAAGAAATTTACAAGCTGATTCTAAAGCTTTTATGGACAGGCAAAGGTATAAACATAACCAAGACATTCTTGAATAAAAACAAACTGGGAGGACTTGCTCTACTGGATATTAAAACTCATTAGTCCGGGTGTGGTAGCTCACTGCAACCTCTGTAATCCCAGCATTTTGAGAGGCTAAGGTGGGAGGGTCATTTGAGGTCAGGAGTTCAAGACCAGCCTGAACAACATGGTGAAACCCCATCTGTAATAAAAATACAAAAATTAGCCAGGCATAGTGGTGCACACCTGTAATCTCAGCTACTTGGGTGGCTGAGGCACGAGAATCGCTTGAGCCTGAGAGGTGGAGGTTGCAGTGAGCTGAGATCGCACCACCGCACTCCACTCTGGGTGACAGAGTGAGATTCTGTATCGACAACAACAATAACAAGACAAATTATAATGATTAAACTATAGTGTTTAGGATTAACACATAGGTGGTAAAACTACAAAGAAAAGCGAACAAGTAATTTCCACAAAAGTCAGGGTAGTTTTTCCTTTGAAGGGAAAGGAGGAGGTAATAATTGAAAGGCATCATAAGGGCCACTTCTGGAATTCTGGCAATGTCTAGTTCTTGATTTTACCTGGGTGTTTGCTTTGTGATAAATCACAGAGCTTGACATTTTTGTTTTGTGCACTCTTTGGTAGGTGAGTTATATAGTTCACAATAAAAAAAGGTTTTACACACACACATTTAACGCCATAAAAACGTTAAACACCTAGCTTTGTGCCTGGCACATAATAGATGCTCAAGAACACAAAATTGCTTCTCTTTCACCATTCCTTTTTTCTTTCTAGCAGAGAAAAAAGAAAAATGTGAATTTTCATAAACACTTTCCTAGCACATGCACAATCTTTCTTGCTTTCTTGCAACAATCTCACTGTCATGGCAACTGCAATTAAAGGTGGAGCCTGTGGAGAGAAGGAGAGATAGGAGCACAACAGCCTGAACTTGATTACCTCTGTGCAAGAGGAAATTCTCACTGATAACTGAATCGCTGGAACCCAAAGCCTAAAGTACCCATTAACGCATAATATGTTGATTGCTTTATATTTTATTTTCCCTTCCAAGACAACATAGCAAAACCTTTGTTTAAACGCTTCCCTTTACTGCAGGTTGCAGTTAAGCCTGTAATCACTGGGTGAATGTTTATAGAGCCAGACATTCTTTGTGTGTCAGAGAAACTAGAGGCCAGCAGTGGAGGTATTGTCTTGCAGGCGGCTGCGATGCAGGAAGAATGTAGCTGGGTGGGGCTGGGTGACAGGCACAGCGGGCTGTGGGCTGCGTGGATCCCAGGGGCAGGCATGCTCCAGCAGGATGTCTGCGCCTGCTCTCATGCCTCAGCTCCTTCCCACAGCCACCTGACATGTTTGGAGCTGGGGTAAAGGCTAATGATACTTGGGGAGAAGACTTCAATTCTATCAGCTGAGAAATCAAAGACATCCAAAAATCAAGGAGATGCCAAAGACCACTTTAAAATGATCTCTGCCCAGGTTCCCCCAACTCTCTGAAGCACACAGCCAACTCGCCTCAAAATTACCAACTTGAAAAGATATGAAATAATAGATTTCTGGGTCTGAAAATGATCAACAAGTCTAAAAGGCCAAAAATTGAAAGCACAAAGGACATTGGAGGCTTATTTTCAGCTGATATTGAAATTTTTCCTTGTGACCTCAAAGGAAATTCTACTTTTAGCAGAGATTTGCTCTGCAAGGGGGATTAGACGAGAATTCCTTACGGACTGGGAAGGAGGTAGAAGACAGGGGAAGGGAATCAGGAGAGGACATCCATGCCCCATGTTTTTAGACCTGTGGAATTAGGCAAGAGGCATTCTGCTGGTTTGGCAGAAGTGGGAATCTCTGAAGACTAGATTATGTATAATTAATTCACATAGTTATTGAGGAGTTACAGTATGCCTGTGCTGTGGCAGGTGCAGGAGTTACACCAGAAAACCAGAGTGGCTGTGTCCCTCACCACATGAAGTCTATGAACAGAAGGGCAATGGGGCACATTGGTAGACTCCAACTGGGCCAGAGAATTTACAGGCTAAGATAACCTCCAGTTCCTCCATTTCTATTGTTTTCAGAAGTCTGGCAAAGGGAAACAAGGTGTGGAAAAACAAGAGAAGAAAGCTGCTGTACTTCTACCTGTCTCCACAAGGACCCCACCTGTACACAGGAAAGATGGACAAGGTAGGAAGTCCTAACCAGAGCAATTAGGCAAGAGAAAAAAAGGTCGGGGCAGTGGGGAGGAGGGGCACCTGAATTGAAAAAAGGAAGTCAAACAATCTCTGCCAATGATGTAGTCTTATACCTAGAAAACCCTAAAGACTCTTTCAAAAGACTCCTTGATTTGATAGATGCATTCAGTAAAATCTCAGGTTACAAAATCAAAGTATGCAAATCAGTGGCACTGATATACACCATTAAAGACCAAGTTGAGAATCAAATTAAGAACTCAATCCCGCTTACAATAGCTGCAAAAACAAAAACAAAAACAAAAAACCATAAACACGAACACAAACTTAGGAATATACTTAACCAAGGAGGTGAAAGACCTCTGCAAGGAGAACTACTGAGCACTGATGAAATAAATCATAAATGGCTGGGTGTGGGCCCTCACACCTGTAATCCCAGCACTTTGGGAGGCTGAGGCAGGTGGATCACCTGAGGAGGTGGAGACCAGCCTGGCCAACATGGTGAAACCCCGTCTCTATTAAAAATATAAAAATAACCCGGGCACAGTGGCAGGTGCCTGTAATCCCAGCTACTTGGGAGGCTGAGGCACAAGAATCACTTGAACCTGGGAGGCAGAGCTTGCAGTGAGCCAAGATCATGTAATTGCACTCCAGCCTGGGTGACAGAATGAAACTATGTGTCAAAAAAAAAAAAAAAAAGAAAGAAAGAAAAAAAATCATACCATGGAGGGCAATGGAAATTATTACAACTTCTATAGGAAACAGTATAGAGATTTTTCTCAAAGTACTAAAAGTAGATCTGCCATTCAATCCAGCAATCCTGCACCTGGGTATCTACTTAAAGGCAAAGAAGTCATTATATCAAAAAGACACCTGCACATGTATGTTTATAATAGCACAATTCACAATTGCAAAGATATGGAATTGACCTAAGTATGTATCAAGTGGTGAGCAGATAAAGAAAATGTGTGTGTGTGTGTGTGTGTGTGTGTGTGTGTGTGTCCGTCCGTCCCTTGGCAATCTTCATTCCTCACTGATTCCTCATTAGCAAAGCAGCAAAAACCCTCATCACAGCGATTCCAATCCCATTACTGTGATGCTCATTGCCAAATTTATGAGCATTACATTATAAGCGTTACTAACGTGTCCTCTGTAATTCTTCTATGTGACGCCATCGTCAATACTTACGAAATGCTTTTAACCAAATTAGAGCAAAGAGAGCTTTCACATTTAGAGGGGGATATGTGGGGCTGTCTCCTTTCCCAAGGCAAACTCATTGTTCCTACACAGGTTCTCACAGGTGGTCCATAGGCACCTTGGGTAGGACCCTAGTCAGTGTGAAAAGCTGAGCAAAGCAGAGATTTTCTAAGCCCTCGAGTCTGGCAGGACTGCAGTACACAGATGTGCCCTGGTCATAGACTGCCGCATGGGGGGATCTTACTCTCCAATGTGTAAGTCTTTTCGTCATTGAGTTGTAGAATTATTAAAGACTGGAATTGCCACTATTCCTTTTTATTTCTCCCTGGATACCTAGAACTAATTTGTTCACTAAATTCTTGTCCATAGAACAATTCAACAGATATCCACCAAATGTTTATTGGATGGCTCCTGTGTGACAGGGACTGTGCTAAATAAACAGATGTTTTTAAAGGTCCAAGGGACTCCCCAGACAGGTCTTTCTATGACAACGCTGTTATCAAATGCTTTTCAAAACACAGCCCATCAGATCTTGGTTTATTCCTAGAATAGCTGCACCCTTGGAGTGGCAGGGGAGGGCGGCAATCTCCACCTTCACACAGGCCAGCTCCAGCTCAGTGTCCATTGAGGGCTGGGCCAGTCCTTGTCCGAGTGAATCATGGTCTGTGGCTCAGCTCAACAGGCTACCAGCAAGTTGCTGCCACAGTTTGTATGGACCAATAGGGGACCAAAGTCACTCAAAGACAAAGCTTAAGGGTTTTACTGGTTTATTGTGAATCGAATTGCTTTTTGAGATTCTGGTAGTGAGAGGAGAAGGTACAGGGGGAGGGATAGGGTGTTAGAAAAACAGAGAGTCCAGCGAGGGGAGCATTTCAGAGTGACATCAAAACTGTGTCAAGTGTCCTCTTGAATGGTTGTAAAGGTCAGAGCAGCACTTACACACTTTGTCCCTTTGATAGAGGGAATGAAACAGAAAACTTCAATGTGGTTATCTTGGCCGTTCTTAGAAAACAATCCTAGAAATGCCTCCTGCTGGCCAGCCTGGTTCCTGCCCCGCTTTCGGAGCTCTGACCTGTAGATACCTGAGCAGACCCAAGCAGGCTCTATGCAGACAGAACCGCCTCCTGGGTGTACTTTCCAGGAAGCCAGGTATTCAGAAACACGGTACAGCATCCTCTGAACCTGTACGGATGTCCTGAAAGGTATTGCCAGGCCAAGGTCTTGCTATGCTGACCAGAGATTTCCTGGAAAGCTGTTGTCCCGCCTGCAGAATGCCGGCAGAGTGGCTCTGCAGATGGCTCCTCTCTGGCCTCCTCTCTTTATCCATGTCCCAGGGCGAGGTGGCCATCAATCTTTGCTCTGACCCTCTTCTGCCCACAGTGATGACCTCCTGCTAGATCTCTGCAAGAATTCAGAACTTCCCTGAACCAGAATTAATTGTGGCATTGGCAGAAAGTTGAATCTCTATACACCGAATGGAAGGAGAAACAGGTCTTGTGGTACAGCAGGCGTGGCTCCCCGAATCAGATTGGCTTTGGAGAGAGCCAGGGCCAAGAGCCTTCTGGGACAGGGTGTGAGGAATACCTCTCTTACTCCCTATGGGATGCCATGGTCAGGGATACCTTCCCTCCATAAGGCATGGAGAGATTAGAAAATTCTCCCTTGACCTCTCTGCTGCCTCAGAGGGTGACCATCTTCCTCATCCTCTGCCACAATCCACTGCAGCAAAGGGCCACACTTCCTCCCCACCTTTCTCTGGGGCTATTTAGCTTGGAAACAAGACTAACAATGAAGTAACACAGCAAAGTAAATTCCAGAGCTGGGAACCTCAAAATCTCAAGAGTTAGAGAGCCTGTTGAGGCCATCTATTGCTACCCCTCACAGATGCAAGCGCACTGCACCACCAGGCTGAAAGACAATCTTTTTTTTTTCTCTCTTCCTAATAAAAGAATCAAGTTTCCCTTTCTCTGAGCTACAGATTCTCAGTGGCTTTAGGCATTTCCTATACGATGTGACACCAGGTACGTGGCCAGCCATGGTCTGGGGCATACAAAGATGAATAAGACAGAACAACTGGCTAGACAAATGAGTCCAATGCCCCAGGTGCTCTATGGAGCCACGTGCCAAGTGCTGTGGGAAGTTCAGGGAAAGGTGCAGTGTGCCGCAGCAGGAAGGATTCTCAGAGTGCCTGATGTCTGAGCTGGGTGCCTGGAAGGAAGGATGAATGGGTCGTAGCAGATGAGCCAACAGGAAGAGAAACTAGTCTGATTCATTTCTTTCTTCCTTCCTTCATTCCTTCCTTCATTAACTCAACCAGTCTTTCTGGATTACATGTTTTGTGGCAAGAGCTGTCCAAACTAGGAAAAAATAAAAAAAAGCATTGTCCCTGCCTTCAGCTAGCTTGCAGCCTAGTTGTGATATAAGTAAGAAAAAAGGCCAGAATACATAGTGAGGTAAGGCAGGACCAACACAGGAAAAAATTAGGTGTTTTGAGAGCCCACAGAAGGCACTAACTCCACAAATGAAAGCATGGTGTGAGAACAAGTGTAGTAAGTTGGGGAACAGGATGGTCAGAGCATAGAACCCAACAGGAGATTAGAGAGAAATGAGGCTGGAAAAGATAGAACCTGAAGAGTCTTGGGTTTTATTCCTTAGGCAGTGGAGAAAAAAGCATTGAAGACTTTAAACACGTGAGTGATATGATCCTCTCACGTGTTTAAAGTCTTCAATGCTTTTTTCTATTTTTGTCCAAGGAAGACAACTCTGGGGGTAGTGTGGGGAACTGGTAGGAGAGGTAAGAGGTGGAAGCAGGAAGACCAAGTTGCAGCGGTTTTCGTGGGTCCTGATTTTTCTCCTGCATGTGCACCCCAGTATATCAATTTTCCTCTTTAAGCATGAGGCCAGAATGGAATAAAATATTCTAGGTGTGGACTGACCAGCACAGAATGCCATAAGATAGTTAATTATTACAGATGACCCTCTTATGTTATTGTTGTAGGGGAAGGCTATATATTTTGATAACATATCACAGTTCTGCTTCGTATGGAACTTATTATCAACATAAATTCCTGGGTCACATTCTCATTTACTGTGGCCAAACACCGGTTCTCTCATCTGACATTTGGATATTCAGTTATTGGTACCAAAATGCAGGAATTCCCATTCATTCTTGTTAAGTGTCATTTTGGTAGCTCTGTCCATTCATCTAACCCACTAGAATTATTTGGGATCCTGTGTGTTTTGTCAGTGTATCTCTATCTTGCCTAGCTTTGCAGCATCTGCAAATTGAAATATCATTCCCATGATGCTCTTATTTAATCCAATTTTTTATCCAGGCCACGGAGAGGATGGAGTATTCCATTTATAAATTCAGTAAAGCTGCTTCATAAGACACCATATTGCCGTCATGTTCAAAGATATCAGAAGAATTGAAGAATCTTTTCCCCACCCCTCCAAATACTGGATAAACAATGGCATTGTTCAGGACAATTTGTTCTTCTTTTTCTTTTCTTTTTTTGAGGTGGAGTCTGACTCTGTTACCCAGGTTGGAGTGCAGTGGTGTGATCTCGGCTCACTGTAACCTCCACCTCCCAGGTTCAAGTGATTCTTCTGCCTCAGCCTCCTGAGTAGCTGGGATTACAGGTACACACCACCATGCCAGGCTAATTTTTGTATTTTTAGTAGAGATGGGGTTTCACCATGTTGGTCAAGCTGGTCTCGAACTCTTGACTGTGTGATCCGCCCACCTTGGCCTCCCAAAGTGTGGGGATTACAGGCGTGAGCCACTGTGCCTGGCCTTTGGGACAATTTGTAAATAAAAGAATGTGCTTCATCTGGCAAAACCTGTTCTTGGTGACTCAGCCTCGAATCCTGGTCAGCACCACTTTCCAGGTGCTCATTCCTCCTCTTCTCAATGGCTTAACATTGGAATACACTCAAGCTCGGTCCTTGGACTTCCTCTTTGTAAGTTACTTTAGTCCCTTGTTAATTTTAGTATTCTCATAGATGTACATCTCCAAGCTTGGCCTCTTCCTTGATCTCCAGATGCATGAATCCAACCACCTGCCAGGTTTCTCTTCATGGATATCAAATATAAATCTC